ATACTTATCAAGGAAGCACGATTTTTAATAGATGGCGGAGCAACTACCGTTTATACTATTGGGAAGCGTATTTTCTTACGTGCATTTGAATTGGAGTACGTAAATCAGGCGTAATACCGAAGAAGCGATGTTCTACGGGGATTCCCGTCATTCAATGGTTCATGGAAGTTAACAACAGAAAGTTCTACAAGACTGTTGTATATAAATATATCTTATTAGACGTTTTGTTGTGTAGTATCGCTGAGTATTTTTACGAGTTGTGCCGTATTTTGACGTAGGACGAGTCAAAATACAAATGACGAGTAAAAACACTCAGCCATAATACACAACAAAACGTCTAATAAGATATATTTATTATCCAACACGCCAAATTGTTGTTTCAGTGCGGGTGAATTTCATGGATATTTCTGGAGACGAGTACAAATATCACGCGATATTTGTACTCGTCTCGCGCGTTATTTGTACTCTACGAAGCACATTTGGATAAAAAAAGCTGTTATGCTTTCCTGCCATAATACGTCACGCGAGTCTGTTGAGATAGGGCCGAAAATACATAGCCTGGCTCAAACTTGATCTGAAAAGGAGGAAGTGAGGAGGAATTGGTGGAGAAGTATTCTGGCAAAACAATAACTCCAGGAGCAGACTGCCTCAATTTCCAGAGTTCATGGGTTGTCATCATCTGATGTTAGGGATCTTAAGCAGTCAAGACCGCAATGCCAAGGAAGAAGTCGATTAAAAGTGAATTTCTTCTTTTAATTAGAAGTCCGAAAGTGGCTGCTTGTGTTTACCCGCCCCGCAGTAATTGACGCAAGCTGTTGCGGTGTCCCTGCCGGTCGGCGAAGCTAATAAATTAAACCATCTCGTACGGCTCGACAACTCAACCTGGAAGTAACGTATAAAACTATCGTTTAGTTCCGAATGGAAATTAAAATAATTTGCCTTCGCGGTTTGGGTTCGCAGACGACGCAAATTTTGGTGATTTCACGTTGTTGTTTTGCGCAGGACGGCTATGAAATGTGCTTAGTTTTAAAATGCACGTGCTAAGCTATTGTTCTTCCAATTAGATCTTTTGTTTTTCCACGTCCTCGTTGCCGTGGCCGTCGTGGTTTGCTTAAGTTCTCCTATTGCCGAAAATGGGGGACTTCTCATTATCCAAGCGTTGATCAACCTTCATACCATACGTGATATTTATATGTATCTTACCTAACCATGAATCTTTAAAGGAGCATTTTCAAGGATACTTGATGGCAGGGCAACAGTATACAATAGGTATTAGGAGCCATTGTCCTTATTTCTGTCCTTGTTATTCCCACATCCTTATGGCATTTCATTTGTGTCATTTAGGTGATTTGTGATACTTGTTCCAGAGATCCTAAAGATACAAAGTGAATCCCATACCATCCTATCTCTACACTCATTTTATTACTATAGTAAATATTTAGGATTACTGTTTAGTTCAATTATTTTGTAACTTCGTTTGACTGTGAATTCTTTTATTTGCAATCAGAAAATCTTGGTATCTTCCTGGTCCTCTGCCCCAAGTCAAAACATCTCCATTGGAAGTGAAATTGCTACATAGGAAAGAAAAGGATCAAGTCTACTCATTTAAATTCTCAATATCAGGTCAGTTTTCTATCTTTTAATCCTTTGACTCTGTGTAAGTGACCAGCATTTAATTTCTCCTTGCGATATCGTGTCATGCATAAATCATATCTAACCAGTGTCTGACTTCTAAATGCCTCAGGTCCTGATCACATGACTTTATACATATCACCTGCTAGTGGCGTGGATTTGCTGACCTCTTCCCTGGGTCCCCTCATACCAATTCAAGACGGTGGAGACAGAGTGGTGTTCTTTATTTACTATTCTCACGGTACCGATGTGGGGCCCTGGGAACTATCACTTGAGCTTCTGGTGAGTTGGACAATTACAGAATGAACAGCCGGCTGCTTTTACGTTCGTCATTGTCACTAGGGATCGTCTTCCTAGTCAAGATTGTCGGGCGTGGCTTTCTCGCCTAACATCCTGTAGGAAATAAGACCGGTACAACGGAAAATAAACAGTGGTAATCCATAAATTCCTGGTTTTTCCACTTCATTAGACGAGGTCAAATTGATCCTCTGTCACAGTTCCTGGTCTGTAATATGCCATTTCCGAATTACGTTTGTCCTCTTTTTCAAAACAAGGCCTGGTGCCCAAGCATTGGTATGAAAATGAGTTTAACTTGCTAGTGAGTGAAAACTTATAATCATATGTAAGGAGGAGCACCAGGACTCAATTTGAAAAGAGGCTAATTGTAGGTCGGAAACCGCCTATTTGTCTAAGGAAAATTTCCATGTTTGTCGATAACTGGATTTGGTCTGTTGAGCTGCTACAAATCTTTGGGCCATTGGGCTGTATTATAAACTATTGGTAAATGGATAACCTTAGCTCTTATTGTAAAAGCCTTGGCACTAGTGTTTCTTCGCCCACAGGGAAATACGAAGCCTAGTGCCACGCGTGCCGGAGAGAGGTCTGAGATCTGACATAGATAATTAGTGCAACGCCCCCGCGGTATGCCTCCACTGGATCCGTCGCTAAACTCCCCTCGGGCGGAGAAACGCTTGTCTTGTAGCGCAAATATTCCAAGATTTTCTTAATTTTAATATCCTTTCAGCCGGAAAGACACCTCCCGAACAAGAGCAATCTGTTCGACTTTGCTGTGGCAGCTCATTACATTCACGGCAAAGAGTCATCTTCACCTTTCCTCAAAGAAGTCATTCAAGCTATTCCAGACTGGATTTTTGCTAATGATTGGGTGGACACATACAAGAGTTGGTCTTACACCACGGAATTCCCTGTATCGCAAGAATGAATCAGTCCAATTCGTTGCAAACGCTACTATGTAATACTGCAGAATTGCACCAGTTTGAAACAGTTCACAGGTAGAAAATTCCTGTGTAGGTTTTTACATTTTAGGGTGGATGATCTCAAAAAATATTTAAAGTGTTTTTAGGATTATACGAAAATTTTAAGGGAATAAAACAAACGTGAATTAGCGCAGCGTTACTAAGAAAGATAAGTGGCTGGTCACACGTGGATCAAAAACTATATTAAAATTCCCTTAGTTTATTGATAATGATTTTATCTTGAGACGACATTGAAAATACAGTGGAACCTCAATTTAACGAACCTCTACATAACGAAGTTCTCGGTATAACGAACGATACTCAAGTTTCAGCCCAGCTAAAGTTACATGCCACAGAACCTTGATACGACGAACCAATTTCCTTAGTCCCTTGGCACTTCGTTAAATCGAGGTTCTACTGTAAAACTTTGGGCGGGAAAACATAGCGTAAAGGATTTTTTGCCAGCCTGAAGTCTGCCAGCAGGCCCTCTCCCTGTCAAACTTCTCCACGGCTTGTTGGGTCGGATAAAAGTGGAAATGTCGGTTCTGTTTCTAACGCGCGAAGGTTGTTCAATACAGCTGTAATACCCAAACCTTGTCGATTCGTCTGAGGCAGTTTCCAATTCGTTCTACCGGAATTCGATTCGCAGATAGGTCATCTTGTGATTCCGGAAATCTAATTAAATCATCCCTCATAAATTATTATTATAATATTACAATTTATTCATATTTGATAATGTATTCGTGTTTTATAATTTATTCATCGTATACTTTATTCCTGCTGTAATTTATTCGCGTTATCATTTATTTGTTTTATAATTTATTCATGTTATAATTTATTCGTGTTATAATTTATTCGTGTTTTTCTTGTCGCCATGCCCCCACCAATAGCGTAGCTTCACTTTCTGCATATAAACCCACACACAACCCACAATTCCTCCATTCGCTCTGACGAAGGGTTAATGTTCGAAACGTCAGCCTTTTAACTCTTTACGGTGGCTAATTTACAATTTCAACTTAGTTGATATTACCAAATTACCTTGTTACCCCCACCGACGCAGCACCACAGTTTCTTTAGAAACTTACCCCCTTTATTCAAATAGTTTGTAAGCCCACTATGTGCCATACCGCGTAGACTTTGGAGTACAGCTATCCAAGTACTCCTCTTCCTCGCCACTTTTTGGTTCTCGAAAC